AGGACACCTTCCACTAGCCCAGGTTGCTCCAAGCCCCATCCAACCTGGTCTGGAACACTCCCAGGGATGGAGCAGCCACAGCTGCTCTAGGTAACCTGTGCCAGAGCCTCAGCACCTCACAGGAGGAATTTCTTCTCTATAGCGAACCTAAATTTTCCCTTTTTCAGTTTGAACCCATTCCCCTCGTCCTAACACCGCAGTTCCTGATGAAATGAAAGTCTGTGATGGAGAACAGGACTGTGGAGGGGTTTATTGCCCCTGTGTCTCTGTCAGGGACGGGACAAGGTCCTTACCTGGTAACTTGCATTAAGTGCTCCATAACCGAGTCCTGAAATCATATTTTTGACTAAGGTTGGACTCCTGCAGAAAGAGAGAAAGCAGAAGGATGCAGGGCTGAGTGCTCGCAGCCTGGGGACAGGGACAGCAGGGGCAGCTCTGAGTGTGACTCCCAGGCTGTGTCCCGTGGGAAAGGAACACCCACCCTGTCATCTTTGGTGGCCTTCGCTTTTGGTACTCGTGCTCGTCCACGGTCCACACGGCGCCCTTGACGTTCTCCACGCGCACGAAGCACTTGTGCAGGCTCAGGTTGTGGCGGACGGCGTTCTGCAGAGGGCAGGAGCTCAGTGCCACGACCCTCACCCTGCTGCCCACACCCTCCTCTCCCACAGCTCTGGGCTGTCCTGGCTGTGTTAGTGCTCCTCAAAGCCACTCGAGGCAGCTGAGGGGGTTTAGGAGCTGAGCCCCAAACCACACGTGGGACACGACCCTGTTTCGAGGGCCGTGGCAGGTGGAGGCAGGTGGGGACAGGGTGGGACACAGTACAGCAGCAAGAACGGGCACAGCCACCCTCCCCACTGCAGCTCTCGTGATGCTCAGCACAGCCAGCTGATCTTCCCCTTTCCTTTTCTCCCCCACCCTCCCGTTTTGGTCCTTTCCCTCCCTTTCTTCTTTACATCGACCATCTTTACATTTCTAAATGTAAAATAAAGAGACACACACGTAGGCAGACAGCGCAGCCCCGAGAGATACCAGCTCCCTTTTCCCCTTCCAACTCCCTGCCATTTGCTACTGCCCCTATTTCATTACCAATTTTAATTTGCCTCTAATTAAATCCTGTGTATTTTTCCGACTCACTTGCTAATCCATGAGGGAGGCAGGAGGCTGGAGTGGAATCTCTCCGAGCTATAATTACAAAGGGCCTAATCACGCCGGGGCTCTGCCTTTGAATAAATTTCCTTGCATTAAGGTTCTCAGATTCTCTGCCTTGCAAATGAGAATGACCCCAATTTCAGGAAGTTGGCCTCGGAGGGTTTTTTTTTTCTCTCTCTTTTTTTTTTTATTTCGAGTCCTGATTCGTGATGAGAGACTAATTCGTTACGCTAAAACATTAACAGCAATTTAAAAGGTCGAACGGGGGCTGTATAAACAAAGGAGTTGGCCAGCACAACAAGGCGAAAGGAGACACAAGGACTGAGCTCCCCCAGCGCCAGCAAGTGCCACAGCGCCCAAAACTCAGCGCAGGGCACCACCTCTCCTTTTGCTTCTGATCTGAGGAGGAAAACAAACAAAGCTGGGCTCTCTCCCTTGTCCTCCATCCATCCATCCACCCACCCTCCCATCCTCTGGCTGCCCCAGTGCCCCTGGGTGTGCCATGGTGCTGCCACAATGGCCCTGACACCAACCAGGTGACACAGACAAGCACAGCAGGGATGGCTCTGGCTCCTCTCACCCTTTGGCAGAACCAGCCCTGAAGGGGAAACTTTGTGAGTGGCTCCCAGCATTCCTGGGGAAGGAGATTTGGGCCCAGTCGGTGCTGTTTGATGTGATTTTTTGGGGGGAACCCCTGGGTCACACCAGAACCGTGCAGAGCAGCAGTCCTGGCTCCCTGGGGGATGCTTGGTGTGGTTGAAGCCAAGTCCCCAAATCCCAGCCTGGTGCCATTGCCACTGGCACCCAAAGGGACACTCCACTTGGGCCATGCCCTGCTGTGAGACACCCCTTGGCCTCAAACCTTGTGCTGGCATCACCAGAGAGCAGGTCTGGACTGCACACAACAGGGAACTGGAAATCCAAGGGGAACCCTGAAATCCAAAGGGGAGCCCAAAATCCAAGGGGAGCAGGACAAGCCACCAGCCCCAGCTCTGTCCTCACACCTTCCCCTGCCCAGGACTGGGTCCTGCCACTGCCCTTGAACCCCTGTCCCTGGTGAGCAAACTGGTGCTGGGCTGGATCCTGCCTGTGCTCCCCTTCCTCCTTGCTCTGTGCCAGGGATTCCTCATCCAGACAAAGCCCTGACTGCAGCGTGGCAAAGCCAGAACCTTCTCTGCACACAGGCAGCAGTGCCCACACCTCCCCTCCTCCCCCAGTGCCATGAGGCAGCATTGGGGATGTGCCTACAAAGGCTCCAGGAGAAATAAAGTCAATCCTGGCAGCAGGCAGGATGAGCATCCTTGGAGCCTGGGACACCCCATCCCCAGGGTGCTGGGCAGGGTGTTGGCACCAGGACACGGCGGAGGTGCCAGCTGAGCCCCCTGACATGGGAACCCCCCACAGTGTGGGGGGATGAGTCCCCTGCCTCAGCCTAACACAGCTTTGTATTTCGCAGGAGTGTTTGTTCAGAGCCAGCCCTGGCTGCTCTGTTTGCTTCTCATCTCTCCTCTCTAATGATGTTGACTTTACACCCCCAGCTCCACACCCCGGGCTGTGCCAGGGGTCTCCTTGTGGGTCCCCCCACACCAAGGGGATGGGGCACCCACCGTGGTGCCCAGCACCCCTGTCCCATCCTGGGAGGAGCAACAAATGAGGGAGAAGCCACAGCAGAAACTATGGTTTTCAAAGAGAGGAAATACACAACTTTTTCCTGTGTATCCCCCTCCTTCAGCAGCAGCTTGGCCTTGGACAGTGGAAGTTGTGAAGGCAATTATCCCTCTCCTCCAGCTCCTTTTAATCCTCTGCCATTCCTTTTGGTAATCAAACAGGAAATAATCAAGAACAAAAAAAGGGAAGCAGAAGGACTGGGGGATGCCTTTGGTAACACAAGGTATGGGGGAGCCACCAAGACAAAACCACCAAATATTCATTCCTCTCAGCCGGTAAAAAAAGGCAGGAAAAAAAAGAAAGACATTTCCATCTGCCATGACCTGGTTGCAGAGAGGGGGAAACTGAGGCACGGAGCAGGTGAAGTGCTGCCCTGGCCATGCCCAGCAGTGCCCAGCATGGTGATGCTCCTGGTGTGTCTGCAGTGCTGCCCATGTGCAGCGAGGGGCACTCCAGACCCACACACAGCCAGCCCCAAACTGCCCCCACCGCTCCTGCCCTGCTTGCCTCCCTTGCACCTCGCTGATTCTAATTATTTTTACTTTCAACTAACACATTTCCCTCTGCGACTTCACTCCTCGCTGCCCCGAGCAGGAAGCTGAGCTGTGTCTCGGTAAATATGTGCAGCGGGAAACAATAAATAAATAAATCTCCCCTGGTCGAGGCAATAACCGAATCACAGAATCACAGAACTGCTCCTTCCACAACCTTCCAAACACCTCTGAGATGTTTGCTCAGCTCTCACTCCTAAATAACCAAGGGGGGAGCAGCCCTAGCACAAATGTGCTGCCCCAAAATCCACCTCCACCAGCCCAGGCTGGTGACAAACAGCTCCTCAGCGACAAAAACTCAGTCCCCACAGACCAGGACCACATCCCTGGCCAGCACCGAGCCCCAGCCACTGTGTGTCTCAGCTCAGCAGTGTCACCTGCCTCCAAGTTATCATTAACCTTTTCTGCTGTTTTGAGTGTCTCTCGTCTCTGCCCTTCTCCAGCCTCAGCGCCACGGAAAGCCCAGGATTTTACAACACAGTTCTTTGCCATGTCCTGCTGCAGGGATGATGTGTCCTCACAGACCAGGAAAAAAAATGTGGGGTTTGGCCCTAAAAGTCACAGGGTGAGCCCAGGGTGCTTAGCAGGGCTGCTCTCACCTTCCAGGTGGCTGTGTTCCTCCTGAAGTAGGCAAACATCCGCGTGAACCAGTTATAGATTTCATTCAACGTTAGCTGCCTGTCGGGGGTCTCCAGGATGGCCTGGGGAACCAGAGAGGGGACGAGAGCATCACTCAACGCCCCAGCGAGGTTCGATGCCCATCCCACGCTGAGGCATGAGGGGAGGAAATGGGACACCCCCAGGACTGAGAGAGTGGGGGAGAGCTCAGCTCTGCCCCAGGTGCCCCAGGGCAGGTCTCGGGTGCAGAGCACTCACCTGCCGGATGAGCGAGGCGTACGTGAAGGGCGGTCGGACGTCTGCGTTTTTGTAAAACTCGTGATTCTGTGCAAGCTCTGGAGGGGAGACAAGAAACGGGGGGTGAAGGGACCCACTTCGGGCTCTGCACCACGGAGGGCGCCGAGCCCCATCCCCGAGCTCACCTGAAGATATCGGGGTGCAGAACTTGTCCGAGTTCCTCCTGCGGATGGGCCCCACGCTGTGCAGCGTGGAGGAGCTGATGACGGAGGGGCCCTGGCGCAGGGGAGTGATGGGAGCCGTGGCGGACGTGGGGGGATGAGGTAAACCGTCGGGGAACGTGTCGGAAGTGCTCTTGGAGAGGGTGGCACTGGAGACCAGGTTCAGCTGCACGGACAGGGGGAGGGAGGATGGGTGGTTGGGAAGGCAGAGGCTTGGAGCAGGCAGGGAGGGCTGGCAGGGATTTGCTGGGCTTGGCAGGGATGGGATACAACAGTGGGATGAGGATGCACCCACGGGATGGGATGTGCCCATGGGACTGGATGTATCCACTCCACGTGAGAGTTGGTGGAGCAGCACAGCACTGACACAGCCTGCATTTCTCTCTCCTACTTGATGTGCCCCAGCACAGGAGACCAGGCTGTGTGTCTGCAGAACGCCCACCCCGTGGTGACCATGCCCAGGGCAGGGGGACAGCAGCCAGCAGCGAGGGGAAGGGGAGGAGAGGGGACAAACAGGGCAGGAGGGGGACTCACGCTTACAGGCTGGCTGAAAGGCTTTGGCTCTGAAGGTCTCATGTGAAGATGGGCCATCATTGCTTGGAGCCGCTCGCTCTCCTTGGCCAGCTGTGGGAGGCAAGAAGCAGGAGGGAGATGGTCAGGCAGTGCTGAGGTGCCCACGGCTTGGAGGAGCTGCCGACGAGCCCAGGCAGCACCCACTGTGGGGGCACAGGGGCCGCTCCAGCTCTGCGTGTGCAGTCAGGTGAAAAATCACTGGTGAAATGGAGCCACTTCCCAGGCCTCCAGGCTGCCATCCACCAGCACAGCCCGGCCAGGTCACCCAGCACAGCCCTCACCGTCCCTCCTGGGTGCTCCCATCGCTGTGCCCCAGTGCCATCCCCATCCCCTCTGCCCTCCTCCAGCCGCTCCCTGTCCACCCTCCATCCATCCACCAGACACCCCACATCGCTCTAATTGTGCCCTCCTGCCTGTTTACTCCCCGGAGTGCGGAGAAGGGTGAAATATTCACTGTGGCACCAGGAGAGATTTTGAGCCGGGCGCGGGCGATGGGATCTGACACGCGCTCTCTTCCCGTCACCTTCCCTTTCCACCGTGACCCCTCAAGCTCGGGGCTCGGCCACCTCCCTCCAGCAGAGCCCCCTCCCCGGGCCCCGAGCTGGGCGAGGAAGGAGTTAAAGGCAGGAGGCAGAGCGGAGTTTGCTGCAAGTTTGGAGCAGCTCAGATGCTTTCTCGCTGTCGTGGTGCTCATTAGAGCTGACAGGTCTCCCCTCGTGATGCAGACGCTCCGCGCCGGCACAGCGGGAGCTCCGCGCTCAAAACTTTATAATTGGTGGCTCCGTGGCAGGTTCTGCACACGCAGCTCTGCTCACCCTTCAGCTTTTTCTTTTTTTTTCCCCCCCTTCCTTTCCCTCCCCTCTTTAAGCCCCAGTAATTGCTTTCAACCTCTCGCTTTGGCGAGGGCTGGAGCAGGATGGATCGCAGGGATCGCCCAGGCGGCTCAGCCTCCCCACACGGGGAGGTTTGGCTGTGTCCCCCCCATCCCACAGCCCCGAACTCTGATCCTGGGTGGAGGTTCCTAAGGGTGCTTCACATCACATCCTGCTGCCCCTCGAGGCAGTGTCCCCCCGGTGTCCCCCACCACCACACACACATGGGCACACCTTGCTCGGAGCTCCTGCCAGCCCAGCTGGGCACCCTGGCACTGCCACACCACGAGGGTTTTGGTGAGTGACCCCTGACAGGCCCCTGCCCCATCCCACTTTCAAGTCCCAAGATGAAAACCTCCCTTTTGCTCCTCCCTCCTCTATTAGCCGAATTACACAGGCAGGTCGGGGAGCTGCAGACGCTGGGAAAGGCACTATTTAAAGAACTGCCTTTCCAAAAATAGTGCCCTGGAGTTGGGCTCCAAAGACCATGCTCAGCCACCAGAATAAGTGGCCTGATTTCCAAGGAGGTGGCACAGCTCACGTCCCACCTGTGGGCACACCCCCCCGGGCAGCACGTGCTGTCAGGACTGTGGCACCTCCTTGTACCCACAGGGACACTCTGGGCAGGAGGGATGGCCTGTCCCTTCCTCCAGCCCCATCAGAGTCATGCAGGGATGCTGGTATGGGGGAAACTAGTCTGAGGGTCCCCCAGGACTGGATTTCCACCAAGATACAGCCCAGGGCCAGCATTCCTCTTTGGGAAGGATGCTTAAAATGGGTCCCTGAGGTGGGTGGTTACAGTCCCCAGCCTCACTCCTCCCCTCCTGCAGAGAGGAGCCAAGGCATGGAGCACAGGGTGGGAAGGAGATGGTGTTTCACACCCGTGTCACAGAGGCTGGGGCAGCACCCACCTGTATCTCCAGCTGCTGTACCACTTGCATCTGGACTCGACACTGGGCCGTGCTTCGGTCATCAAGTGCATGTTCTGTGTTGAGGTGTCTGGGGAGGAGAACACAGTGTGTTATGCCTGGACATGCACAAAATGCTTCCCCTCTGCTGGGGCCACACCTGGGATCAGCCCGGACCTGCAAATGGCTCAGGGATGCTCTGGCACTGCTGCCCAGGAGGGACGAGCAGAAGGGAAACTGAGGCACGAAGGTGGCCGAGCAAACCAGGCTGTGCCACGTCCCCAGACCTGGGCTGGAGGGAGGCCATGGACACCCAGCCCTGCCCGTGTTCAGGAGCAGCCGCTGGCTGAGGGAAAGCCCATGGATTTTCCTGGAGGAGGCTGCTGGCAGGAGGTGCCAGGAGGACCTGAGGAGCAGGTTTCCAGGACAAAGGCAGCATTATGGATGTTGACTTACGCCCTCTAAGGAAACCCCCGAAGGCAGAAGGTGGCATTTCCAGGGTGTTCCTCATCCCACCACTTTCATGCCTCATGTTTATGAGGTGTTTTATGTTTATGAAGCACGAGGACCTTTGGTCCTCGCCGCCCTCTCTCCTCCTCGGGGAGGGAAGGGCTCCTGGCAGCTGGTGATGGGGATGTCGCTGGCTGCAGAGCCAGGGACACCCCAGGAGTGTCTTGTGGGGGTCCTCACCCCTGGACCCAGCAAAGCAGCAGCCCAGGGACACATCCAGCCCCAAGGATGTCACCCAGCCTGGCCATGCCCTCGCTGGGGTGGGCACAGACCCAGGGAGTCCTCCCTAGAGGAGTGGCACAGGTTGGAGAGGGGATGCTGAGCAGATGCCACCCTCAGAACACCCCAAAAGGTGATCTCTGATGCTGGGGTGTCCCAGGGGCCATGGGCCAAATGTTCTCCAGGGTGAAGACAGAGACATCCCAGGAGAAGGCGCCTCAGGAGTGTCTCTCCACCCTGGGTCCGGATGCAGAAGACTGCAGGAGTCTCAGCCGGCTGTTTGCGAGAGCCTTCCAGCCCCAACTTGCACAAACAAGTTAGGTAACTGGGACCAGCTGCCAAGCCAGTGCGTGAGAACCCCCCAGTGCCTCAGCCCCCCTCCTCTCCCTGCATGGCACATTGAGTGCTCGGCTGCTTCTCCAGGAAAAAAAGCCACCAGAGCTCAGGCTGTGCCGAGGAGGAGTGGAAACATCTCCTGCTGACCCTCACCCTTATAAACCACTGCTCAAAGGCCATGCTGCCCCTTCCCACCCTGAGCTGCTCCACGGAGGTGATGCTCAGTGCCTGGCTGTTTTCTGCCTGCCTGTCCCACACCCCAACACACATTCACGTTGGCAGAGAGGGGACAGAGACCTTTCACCAGTGCTGTTGGGAGGCTGCTCCTCAGGAAGTTTGTGCTCAGGGGCCTGACAGCCCCAGCTGGCACAGCACAGCTCTCCCAGCACCACGACCCAGCCCAGGCCATCCCCTTCCAAACTTCCAGCTTGCTCATCTGCCCCATGCCATGCAAACGATCCCTGTGAGGCAGGAGGAGATGCCTTATCTGGGTTCACACCATGACTCAGAGGAAGGAGGACACAGGAGCCCTGAATCACTCACTCGATCCCCCCAGGCTGCCTTCGCACCTCCTCATCCTCCACCCAGCCCCTTCCATGGGAACCAGGAGGCTGGTGTGGTCCAAGGGCTGCCCCAGGCAGAGCCAGCCCGGGGGGAGTGGCAGGGGACAGGGTCAGTGTGTACAGCCCCAGGAGGTGGCTGAGGAGGAGCACAGCGAGCAGAGCAGACAGCCGGAGAGGCAGGGGGGGGAGGAGCGAGCAAAGCACGTCAGGTC